AAGACGGGAAGGTCACTGGGGAGGTATCCCAGGTAGACTTTCAGGAGAAGACGGGAAGGTCACTGGGGAGGTATCCCAGGTAGACTTTCGGGAGAGACGGGAAGGTCACTGGGGAGGTAACCTAGGTAGACTTTCGGGAGAGACGGGGAGGTCACTGGGGAGGTATCCCAGGTAAACTTTTGGGAGAGACGGGAAGGTCACTGGGGAGGTATCCCAGGTAGACTTTCAGGTGCCAGGATCAGAGTTTCAGTCTTGTCACGATTAAGGAGTAGCAGGTTGTCCGAGAGCCATTTCTTGGCTTCTGTGATAATTGTCTAAAAAAGAGATCAACTTGTGGGAACTTGACTCATTAAAAGAGCAGTATAGCTGCAGGTCATCAGCGTAGAAGTGATAGGAGACATCATGAAAATTTTCAATGATCTGGCTTAAGCTGGCAGTATGCTCGCTCGGCAGTCGACCGGTCGACGCGCCGTCACGTGGTTGTTCGGCGTTCGTTTTCGCACTGACCTTTCATAGTTCCCGAGACACCCCGAGCCGAGCTGCTGGGAAACCCCTTCTGCTCCAGCATATGTCACTGCATGGGATTCCTTCCCGGGGGAGTCCAATGTGGAAAAAAAAAAGTCAGCGGCTCTTCCACGTAACGTTGTTTATCCACAAACTGGTCCCGGATTAAGCTCCAAAGTTTTTATCAGTCAGATTCRACCATGAAAATTGTCTGTTTTATCTCCTTTTATGAGTTTTTGGCCATTGACTAAATGTAAATCTTTAAATCGCTGCTTCCTGGTACAACAGTCAGCTGTGGAAGCGATCGCTTTTTTCTTCTTTTTTTCCCTTTCTTTTTTTTGAAGCGAGTGGTTGAAGCAAATGCAGCATCTGACCGCCTTCAGCACAAACAAAACTCCCAGGAACTTCTGACCAGTCACACCACACAGTTCGTATGTGTTTTCATGTGGAGGGGGGTGAAAAGTTCGACCCACGGGTTGCGACAAGAAATGCCGAAATGCCGACGATGCGAACAGAAGTGGCGCATTTTTCATCATAAAACTGCAACAGTTCGGCACGATTTCGGCAGTTCGGCAGCAGCATGTAGGAGCCTTTAGGGGGCGGATGTAGAGGAGGAAGAGGAGGGGCCCCAGGATTGAACCCTGTGGTACGCCACAACTGAATTGGGCTGGTTGAGAATAAGTTTGATTTTGAAGTACTGAGAAAGAGCGGTCGGAGAGGTATGAAATAAACCAGTTTAATACAGCACCCGATATCCCAATGTTTCTCAGATTGTGTAGTAGAATGGTATGATCAACAGTGTCAAAGGCAGAGGAAAGGTCTAATAGGTGCAGAACAGTGTAGTTGAGTGAGTAGAGTGAGAAGTCCGATTGGTAAAAGGTCATGAATATTATTTTCATCCAGGTAAGCAGTAAGTTGTAATGATACAATTTTCTCCAAGACCTTAGACAGGAAAGATAATTTAGAGATGGGCCGGTAGTTGTTTAGATCTGAGGTGTTGAGGGACTGCTTTTTTAATTTGGGTTCAGGGATAGCTTTTTTGAAATTGCCTGGCACACATCCAGATGTAAGCAAGAGATTCAGTAGGTCAACAAGTGAGGGCCCCACCACATCAAAAACAGTTTTTGAAAAGCTGGGTGGTAGAACATCAGCGGGGAAGGTTGAGGATTTCATTTTCTGGATTACAGTTCCAAGATATTCTGAGGTTATAAGGTCAAAGGAAGACCACGATTGCGTGGGGCTGGCATCAGGTCTGATGGGTAAGTCTGATGGAGCAGAAGCCCATTTAAGAGGGCTGCTACTCTGGATGTTCTCAATTTTAACAGTGAAGTGTGTTAGGAAGTTGTGGCAGGTGGGAGATGAAGATGTGTATGGGGAGGGGACGCCCGGCGAGACTAGTGAGTCAATAGTGTTGAATAAGGCTTTGGGATTTTTCTTATAGCGGGTGATTAATTGAGCAAAATATTTTGACCTGGCCTCTTTCATCATGGACTGCAGTGAAAGTCTTAAATCTTTAAGGTATATTCTGTGGACCGTTGGTTTTGACGATTTCCATTTTTGCTCTGCCTGTCTGCATGCACATTTAGCAGTGTGAATTTCCTCATTAATCCAGGGTACAGATTTTTTTAACAGTAGAGCTTGAATTAGCTGTGACAGTACAGCTATTAAAAGCGGATGAAAATTGTTGGTCTAATAGCTATGCTAAAAACCTCTGGCTGTGTTCCATTTGTTATTGAGTGGAGGGGGTCAAAAGAGGCTGAATATTTGTCAGCAGCATCCTTTCTCAGTATCTGCCTCTGAGGTCGTTCTCTGGGGGGAGGGGGCTCTGAGATTGCATTTACATTAACCTCTGAGGTCGACGCCCACTCTGAGGTCGACGCCCGCTCTGAGGTCGACGCCCGCTCTGAGGTCGACGCCCGCTCTGAGGTCGACGCCCGCTCTTTTGTGCACGTTTTTATGCATCACTGCACATTCAGCGAATGTTTTGTGAACACAGTGACTGAAAGCAACATAACACCAATTTTTTTGGATTTTTTTTTAAATTCACCACATTTCAAGCAGCCAATCAAAAACATTTCTCAGAAAAAACTTGAGGAAAGCGAGCAGGAGCCGCCTGGGAGGAGAAAGTTTTGGAGAGACGAAAGGACGGAGCGTGATGGACACTTTGGATACCGGATTTAGCTAGCACTGTTTTTGGTTTGCTTGTATAAGTGTGTTAGCGTGCGTGAGTTTGTGTGCAGTGTGTGTAGTAGTTTGTTAGTCTGTCTGTCAACATGAATTGTTGTTATATGATGGCCGAACAAGCTCTGCGTACTTTATGAGCTTGGAGGATGATGATGGGTGTGTGCACGGAGATGAATCGGACACGTCGGAGTTGAGGTTTGTCTTTTCTCTTTCTTTGTTTATATGGCGTTGAACATGTACAGTAAAATATTCAGAGTAGAGTGGTGTAGTGTTAACACCCATTTCACCTCACCTCCTCCACTACTGATCAACCTTTGATCACCTGAGGTCAAAGCCCTCTTCTTTCAGACTGAACTGTTTCAGCTCTCATGGAGAGCTATCAAAAAATTAAGCCTTTTCACTGTCTTCCTTTTTTCCTTTGGGAAAGATCTTGTTCTCAAAAGATTTTTTATTATGTTGATAAAATCGAGTCAAAACAAACACTCTGTCTGTACTGCTGTTCTTTAAAAATGTATAATTCAAATGCATAAATCCCTTTAAAATGTGTTGACTTTGTCTTCACTTTTAAAGGCTTTCTAGTCATTTTATAGCTATACATTTATTTGTTGTTTAGAACATGTTTAGAAATTATGATTTAGTATTAACAGAATACATTTTAATCAATACTTATATTTTTATCTTCTGTTTTTAATAAGCATTGCTTAGTCATTTTGTTAGTTTAACATTTTATTAGTTTGTTTTCCTCTCTCGGAGGAGTTAGACATTCCTTCCTTCTCTCCTGCCCTTCCCTATCTTTCCCTGCTTTGCTGCTTGGAGCCTCTCTACATTTTCATCAGAAATAAGAAATTATGGATATTTTTATTTTTATGGATTTGGTTAGCTGGTCTCTCGATAAAATTTTTGGAACAAAGTTTTTTTTTTGCCACTTCAGTAGAAAGCAGAACTGAATATCTGAATATTAGTATCTTAGCTTCTTCATCATCAGTGGCTTTTTTTTGGGCATGTTTATGTGTATATGTATAAATATATATATGTATATGGG